TCCCTGTATTTTTGTTCTTTTGTTTTTTCAAGCTTCTGGAGAGGTCCCCATGAATCATTCTGCCAAGTGACCAGGAACATCAGCTGAGAGGCTTGGGGAAAGTTCCCTCCTCTAAGACCCCCAGGCCTGGCTTGCTTCACTCAGCACAATGCCCTTAGAGTCCAGCTGTGTGGCAGACACAGCCCCACCTCCTCAGCTCCTGCAGGCTCAAAACACTCTGCGGAAACCCTGAACATCCTTCCCTTCCTCGGCCCCTGGTGAACTCTTACTCATGCCGCAGCCCTCTGCTCAGAGGGGCACTGTGGGCCTTGCCCCATCTCCCCAACTCCCCTTACCCTCACCCCTGCCTTCTCCCCAAGTTTCCTGGAGCCAGAGCAGGATGGTAGTTTGCCTTACACGCGAGCACATGTGGTGTCTGCCAACTTGAGTTGCTCAGTACAGAGAGTTGGGTCTCTGGGACAATGAGGTAGATGCATTTTTAGCCATATGTTGCCAGAATTATTTCCTGCATATTAAGCTGTGCCTAAGCAGGTCTTAAAGAATAAACACTGTAACTGCATTCCAGGAGCCGAGAGTGATTTCTAAGCAGGGTACTGAGGGATGAACAGGAGCTCACTGGGGAGGTGGGGGCAAGGAGGGGAAGAGCATTCTGGGCTTCTCATTCAATCCCCAATGCCCTGTCCAGTGGGTATTGCCTGTCAACTCCCACGAAGGAGCTTCGGGAACCAGAGGAACAGAGGACACTCCTCAGAGGCCATGGGTAGGCTGACAGTGAATGCCTGAAACCAGGTTCCTCCTGCCTCTAGGCCTCTCACTTTCCTCAGGCCGGCTGGGAGGAAACAGATCCAGAGTGGGCGGGAGTCACAGGTCCTGTCCTATGGGATGGCAGGCTCAGGTTAGGCTGCTTTAGGCAACTCTCAGGGACTGGGACTCCAGACAGCCTGAGTCTCTCACACCCTCCCCAGCAGGGCCAGGGACCCAAGGCCCAGCAGTTATGTGGGTGGCGAGAGGCCAATCCAAGAGGGCTTCCTGGGGGAGTCCAGGGCAGCAGGTTCTCCATCAGGGAGCAGGGGCCCCTCTTGAGGAAGGGGCCGCCCACCGGAAGCGCCCCAGGCACCCAGGCCGGGCCTGATGACACATGGCTCCCTCAGGCTGGCTGGATGGTCTGGCTGGTCGGGCAAGTGCCTAGAAGGCTCAGCCTTGTCACCACAGGAAGTGACTTCACTCTGGAAGTTTCAGGAGTTTCTCGGAGAGGTGCCTGCCTTCTGCCCTAGCTGCCCACAGCCTCACACAGCTGGGTTCCAGTGCTGAGGAGCCAGAAAGCTGGACACCGCAGCGGCCCTGTGCGCAGGTCTACCACTGCCTGCCTGGGGGTGGAGACCCTTTGGCTCAGCTCTGTGCAAATCCCAGACATGCCCCCTCAAACAAATATTAGTAAACTTGGCTTGGAGTGCTGCTGCCTGATGACGCCAACTTGAGGCAGAGCCTCTTCCCATACTGGGAAGCAGCCACCGGATGTCCCCAACCCAGAGTCCTCTCAGTCCTCAGACTCCAGAGTGCAGTAAAGGGGGGATAGTGATGGGTTGAGTCCCACTGGCCACCGTGTGACTTTGGACAGGTCACTTCTCTGAAACTACCATCCTGTGCTCCCTGTGAGGCCAGGAAAGCAACCCCAACAGCCCCTGCCTCTGGGGACCCTGAGGGGGAAACAAGGCCTCATGCTGATGCCAGTGACACCCCCTCCCTCATCGAGTGGGCGCAGCTCTCCTAGGGTGCAGTGGGATCCACACCAGGACACCCAGTACCCAGCAGGAAGCTGGAAAAGGGGGGTGCCCCAGGCCCTGTCCTGGGGACTCCTCTGGGCTCTTATCTATTAAATGGCTCTATGATGGGGTCCCCCCAGAAGATCCTTGCCTGGGGTTATTTTAGCACCTTGCCGTGTCATTATCCATCCCCCCCACAATCTTATATCCAGCAAGTACCCTCAGACAGTCCTGCTTGGGTGATAGGGACAGAGTCCCTTCTTGGCAGTCACTGCACCTGTCTGTGCCACCATTTTGACATCTGCAAATTGGGGTAATTGCTCCTTCCAGGCCATTGGTAAGGTGGGAGGTTACTTAGCCCCAGGTGGGGCCAAAGGAGGCTCCTGCTCAGTCCCAGGTGAGGAAGGCTGAGGAAGGGCCTTGTGGGAGTGGGGAGGAAAGCTGGAGTTGCGTTCAGTGGAGGTAGTTAGAAGCCCCAGGGGGGACTTAGGGGACAGCAGGTCAGCCTGGCCTCTCCAATATGGGGTAAAGGGCAGGCAGGCAGCTAGCTGGTGTGGGGTTTCTTCAGTGGCAGGGTCTGACCCCAGGGTGACATCCCTTTGTGAGCAACCTCTTCAGGACCACCTCCGTAGTCCCTGAGGCTATGGATTATCATTGCCCCATCTTCACAGAGGCCCCAGGGGCTCCTGATATCTCACACTGCTCTACCTCTGGGCAGGATAGGGAGCTGGCTCCCTCCAGCTCTTACCAGCCTCTTCCGTGCTGGTCTGGCCAAGCCCAGGATGTCTGGTGGCCGCTGGGGAGGCCTGACCATCCTGCAGGCAAGGGGTCTGGCCACGACAGGAGCTGCAGGCAGTGAAGCTACCAGGGTCCCCTTCAGAGCTCTGACTTATTCCCACTTAGTCCTGTTTTCCCTGCCTTGACCTTGACCTTGTCTATGAGGGCAGAAGCATAGAGGCGGGTAGGGCAGGCAGGAAGCTCCCTAGAGAGAGAAGGAGGGCTGGGCCTTAGAGCACCAGCCCTAGGCTGCAGAGTTTACCAGCCTGCCCTGAGAGCAGCTGGGGGTATCCAGCCCAGGGGAGCTGGGCAAGGCTAGGGGAAGCTCCTCACCTGGCCTCAACGCTTCCACTCAGTTCATCTCTCTGGTCCTCTACTCCCAACCTCTGTTTTCTTATTTTTGAAGTGGGATTAGAATACCCACTTGTCTGGGGTTGCCACTGATTGGCCTAGGGTGAGAAGGGAGTCAAGCTGGTGGGGCTCAGAGGGCCCCACACAGACCACTGGGCACCTGCAGGTCACAGGTCACGGTGGCTCCCTTGAGGCAGCAAAAGCATGCCCCACCCAAGCCAGCTTTTCCTCATCTCCCTGCCCAGCAGCCCAGGACCCAGGCAGAGCATTGGAGGCCATGTGCTGATGGCAGAGAGGCTGAGGAAGGGACCCCAGGGAAGGTTGGCGTCTCTTCTGCAGTCTCACCCAGCCTGACACTGCAATTCCCTCCACCTACCAACTGGCCCACTCCCTGGATGCCAGCAGTGACAGGAGTGCATCACCTCTTCTAAGGGCTGGCCTTGCAACTGTCCTAAAAGTGGATCTCTCTACCCACCCTCTGGACTGCTCCCTTCCTCACCCGAGAACTCCAGCCTCCCTGCAAGGACAGACTGGGCTGACCTGCACTGCCATGCTGGGCACAGCATCCTGGCACAGCCCATCTCTGCCCTCTCTTCTGCACTGCCCTCCCACACCAGGTTCTGGGTCACACAGGTGGATCTGCTAGGCAGCTGCCACCTGGATGCCATCCACAGAAGTCTGGTCCTGGCCTCCTCTGAGCCCAAAGTGCCTCTTTATTCCTCCCAGTAACCCTGAAGGGCCAGGGTTCTGGGCTGCATCAGAGGGTGGGGACTTAGAGGCTCTTGGCAAGAGTAATGCTCTGGTATCCCGTCTTGAAGTGGCTCAGTTGGTAGGGCATGGCGCCCATATACTGAGGGTGGCGGGTTCAGACTCAGCCACCGCCGGACCCCGGCCCCGGCCAGGCCAAACACCAATAAAAAAAGCCAAGTGTTCTGGCAGGCACCAGTAGTCCCAGCTACTCAGGAGGCTGAGGCAAGAGAATCGCCTAAGCCCAGGAGTTGGAGGTTGCTGTGAGCTGTGATGCCACAGCACTATACCCAGGGCGATAAAGTGAGACTCTTTCTCAAAAAAAAAAAAAAAAAAAAAAAGAAACTTTTTGAATCAAGGGACTCTGGTCTGCAGGGGCCCTGCAGATTGAAGCTGCCTTGGTTGGTTTTCACCCCAGTGGTGGGACTTCCTGCAACATTCCCTCTAGGGCACAGCTGGCTGGGGGCATAGAAAGGTGGGGACACCAGAGCAGCTTGGCCCCCAGGGCCCTCCTCAGCCAACTCCCAGCCCTGGGAACCGGGAGGAGTGGCTTTCGCTTCCGCCGGCTATTAAACCCTTTAAAGGAAGAGAGTAAATGAAACCACCCGTCTGCCCAGGTAGAAGGCAATGAGTCAGCCACCCCCGCCGCCCTCGCCCTCGTCCTTGCAGCCCTTGCCGCAGGCCCGCCCCAAGCCTCAGCTCCCAGGACCTCTGTCCGTGTGGATGTGCGGTCGGGGTCGGAGGAGCCCTGGGAACAGGATGGGCTTCGCTTTCCCCCACGCTGGCGCTGTGGTAGCCTCGGTGTGTGTTTCCTGATCTAACACCGGTCACTGTGCGATTTCACAGATGGGAAAACTGAGGCTCAGGGAAGGTCCATCTAGGCGCTGCCCATGGGTGGCAAGATGGGCGATAAGGAGCCCGGGCAGGGCCGCTTCCAGAGAAGGTCTCTGGGTGCCCGGGGAGGGGCCCCAAAGGGGACAGGACACCCAGGGCTGGGGAGCAAGCAACAAGCGACCTCGGAGCGGCAGGGCTGGACCTCGGGGCGCCTGGAGCGTGGGGGTCTAGGTCCTGCAGTCTCCTCGCCCCGGGGCCGCTCCCCGGGGCTCCCCGCGTGAGTCACCGCAGGTAGGGCAGGCAGGGCGCATTCTTCCGCGGGGCGGCCTGCGAGCTCGGGGATCGGCGTCCGGGTGGGTGGGGACCATGAGCAGACCCCCGGACCGGCCAGCTGGTCGGGGGACTGGAAGGCATGGGCCTCGGCACTGGAGGAGGGGGCAGCCTCAAGCGGCTTGGTAGAGGACACGGCCAGCGGGGAGGGGCGGGGGGCGGAAGAGCCGGAGGCGGGGCGGGGCGGGGTCACTATAAAGGCCGCGCCCGGGACACGAGGCGCAGAGCCGGCGCCGCTACTGCCCGAGCACATTAGCCGCCTCTCCGAGCCCTCTGCCCGCCACCCCGCGCCCGGCCCGACATGAAGACCCCCGGCGAGGTGCTGCGCGAGGGCGAGCTGGAGAAGCGCAGCGACAGCCTCTTCCAGCTGTGGAAGAAGAAGCGCGGCGTGCTCACCCCCGACCGCCTGAGCCTCTTCCCCGCTGGCCCCGGCGCGCGCCCCAAGGAGCTGCGCTTCCACTCCATCCTCAAGGTGGACTGCGTGGAGCGGACCGGCAAGTATGTCTACTTCACCATCGTCACCACTGACCGCAAGGAGATAGACTTCCGCTGCGCGGGCGAGAGCTGCTGGAACGCGGCCATCACGTTGGCGCTCATCGACTTCCAGAACCGCCGCGCCCTGCAGGACTTCCGCAGCCGCCAGGAGCGCGTCGCTCCCGCCCCGCAGCCCGAGTCCCGCGCCGCCTGCTTGCCCTGAGCCGTCACGGTGAGTGCACCCTGCGTCCCGGGCGGCGTCGGGCCGGGGCCTCTGGGAAGAACGGCGTGAACCGCAGGCGTGGCGCGGGGGGGGGGGTCCTGCCCCGCCTAGGGGACGCTTTCGAGAGGGGACCGGCGCCAGGCAGTCTCAGCGTCCCTAGGGCGAGTGGTCGCAGCCGTCGCTTGCCCCTCTCGTGTCAGGATCTCCGGGTGCTCACTGGCTGGACCCCAACACGCTGTGGGACAATTCCCTGACCCGGTCCTCTCCCCACAGAGCCACATACTGGACGAGTCTGGCCCTCATGGCTCCCACGGCCGCGCCGAGCAGGAACCCGGGGTCCCTGGACGGCGGGAGTAGGTGCGGGCCTCCCACCGCTGACCACGGCGAGGCTGCCGCCTGCCCAGCAAAGGACGATCTTCCGTCTGGCCCCGCTGCGCGGGCGCGTTAAGTTATTGGACTATCTATGTATTTATTTTGATGGGTCTTTGTCTTTTGTCTTAATATTTTGTTTTTTGCACCAGTGTGTCCATTCCAAATAAATTACTTGATCAGGTCGTTTTTCTACCATCTGGCTGTGTGCAGTGAACTTCCTGCTGGGAGGGTGGCAGCAGGGTGCTCTCACCCCACAGCCCAGGCTGGACTGAAAGGGGCTGGGACCTGACTTTGCCTTGGCAGAGGCTGGGAAGTGCCTGGAATTTGGCTCTGTCTAGGTCTCCTACGGGTGTTCTGGGGAGGACAGAGTGGGAGCTCTGGAGTTCACTCATCTCTGACCTCCCTTCTGCCCACATGCCACTTTTCCAGCCACTGGCCAGAGGAAGCCCTTAGCCCTGGAGTCCAGCTGCCAGCCCTCTTGGCTAGTGTGTGGAGCACTGGGCCAGCAGGATGTCTATTGTTCCTTGGGGGAGTGAAACAAGTCTGGGCTCTATCCAGTGGCACAAGGCTGAGGGCCCTGAGTGTCTAGTGAAAGGGATGGACGAGACAATTTGATTCAGAGATTCCTAGCAGGCAATATTCAGAAGGTGTGTACCCCACCCAGAAAATGTGTTGGTGAAGAACCAGGTTAGGCTGGGCACAGTGCCTCACACCTGCAATCCCAGCACTCTGGGTGGATTGCCTGAGCCAGAGCCAAATAGCTGGGCCTTGAAGCACTGGCTGCTTGGGAGGCTGAGGCAAGAGAATCACTTAAGCCCAAGAGTTGGAGGTTGCTGTGAGTTGTGCCACGATGGCACTCTCCTGAGGGCAACAAAGTGAGACTGTTTCAAAAAAAAAAAAAAAATAGAACCGGAAGGTTAAAAGAGCATTCAGATACATTCTGCCCCAGGAGGGGCCTTCTGGAAAGCCCAGAAGAGTCTGGGAGAGGTGCGTGGGGAGTCAGAGGTGAGGGGAGTGAAGTCCCCACATTGGCCCCTAATCGATGTCACTTAGCCTTGGTCTAGTAGGGAGCCGACACAGGCCAGGGAGGGTGCTGTCCCTTTGTTGGGTGGCCTTTGGGAATACTGGGTGCTAGGTCCAGAGAGGAAACCTTCCTTGCAAGGAATTTTTGCCCAAACAATATTGGTGAAGCCTGTGTGCGGAGTGGAAGGGCCTACCTCCAAAGGGAGTTGAGACCAGCCCTGGACCCCCAGCCTGAGGACTTCACCCACCCACAATCTCACCTAGACGAATGTCAAAGGTTAGGAGGTGAGATGCTGTCCCTAGCGGAGTTCCAACACAGGCCTGGTCTGGCCCACGCTCTCTGGCAGGGGGTAATCCATCTCAGCTCTCTGGGGACACTTCCAGTTGGGAGTGGGTTCTGAAGTTTGGAGATTCCATTTTAATAACTTTTTTTTTTTTTTTTGGTAGAAACAGTCTTACTTTGTCACCCTTGGCAGAGTGCCATGGCGTCACAACTCACAACAACCTCCAAATCCTGGGCTTAGGCGATTATCTTGCCTCAGCCTCCCAAGTAGCTGGGACTATAGGTGCCCACCACGACGCCTGGCTATTTTTTTGTTGCAGCTTGGCCGGGACCGGGTTTGAACCCATCACCCTCAGTATATGGGGCCGGTGCCCTACCCACTGAGCCACAGGCATCGCCCTTAATAACTTCTTTTAAAGGAAGCTTGAGGAAGAAGGGGTGGCTTCCTGGTCTCGGGGCATCTGCAGGCCCTGTGGAGGTTGTTCTCTCCAGGTTGGTCACAGCAGCTGCGCCGTTCTGCCCATTGCCCCCTCCCCTGGAAGCCCAGGGCTGGGGGATGAGCATGAGTGGGCCTGCCCTATGAATCTGCTCCAGAATAAGGGGCTGAGAGAGGCCCCTTTGGGTGGGTGGCTGGGCCACTGTCGCTGGTGCAGTTCTGGGACTGAGGATGTGGGGGTTTGTGTGCTGGATTCTGTTACAGTGAGGGCCTTTTTTCTAGATCTCCTTCCAGCCTCACTCCTTGATCTTTTTTTTTTCTTTTTTTTAGAGACAGAATCTCACTTTGTAGTGTCACAGCTCACAGCAACCTTCAACTCCTGGGCTTAGGCGATTCTCTTGCCTTAGCCTCCTGAGTAGCTGGGACTACAGGCACCTGCCACAACGCCTAGCTATTTTTTTTGTTGCAGTTTGGCTGGGGCCGGGTTCGAACTTGCCACCCTTGGTATATGGGGCCAGTGCCCTACCTGCTGAGCCACAGGTGCCACCCCCACTCCCTGATCTTTTAAAAATTATTTTTATTTTCCCAGGAGCACAGATTTCAAGTGTTCTGAATATATGGTCCCCTGATCTCTTAAACCAACATGTTTCTACTCTCGGGGGGCACCACTGCGAGCTGGGTATGGGCAGTGAGCCCCCACCTCCGGTATGAGCCAAGCTGGCTCTGCAGCAACAGGGGGGCTCCTCAGTGTGGAGTAGGTGGATTTAAGGCTGGACTAGTGACTGGGAACACATGTGGTTCTGTTTTCCCCAGAGCCCAGCTGCAGGCCCCCTCCTCCAGAAAGTCCTCCCACCTCTGAGGCTCCCTCCTTTACTAACAGACGCAGGTGGCCCTGTGGGAGCCTGTAGAAATCAGGCCGGAAGAGCTTTTAAGGGAGTTTATTGCCAGTCTGTCCTGGGTGCAGAGGTCAGCGGACTTTGTCCCTCTTCGGGGGAATTTTTGGCTCCCTCCAGAGGGCCAAGAGGATGAGAAAATTGACAGCAGCCTGCACGTGGCCAAAGATGGATACCCCAAAGCTGCGGTACAGGAAGCCACCCAGGGTGGGTCCTAGGGTGCGGGTCAGCGGCTGCACAGAGGCACAGAGGCCCAGCATGGTCCCTGTGTGATAGGGGTGGGGATAGGAGTCAGGCCCTGGGCAGGTTCCTGGCAAGATGCCCATCTCTCCTGACTCACCCCCACCTCACATCCGGTGTCCACATGGTGTGGTCTGGTGAAATATTTCCCTAAATGCCCCTGGGTGTCTCCATTGGGCCCCATGCTCCCATGGGCCACCCAGCCACAGAGGGGGCTATACAGGGCAATTCCCTGATGGGGGGGCTAAGCCTCCTCCCTGCTTTAGAAAGTTCCCAAGCCCAGGAGGAGCCTGGGAATGGGGCCACAGGTCGTGGGCAGCAGGCTCCACCCTCCAGGTTCTGCCAAGGGAGTGGCATCTTGCCTGGGGCAGCTGAGTGCTGGCTCTTAGGTGCTTTCCCAGGGCCCACACCAGCAGCTGAGGGCTGGTGAGTGGGGTGAGGTCTGCTGAGAGTTTGGCTGTGGAGCCAGGGTGCAGGGTTGGCACAACTTCCCAATTCCATCTCCATAGCCTCCTGGCCACCAGCGACCGGCCCTGCCACTCTCAGGATGCCTCCCCACACAAGATGGTGGCCCCACTTGCCTCTTCTTTGGCCCCTGCAAAGCTAGCCCACTCCCCAGGCTCACCTGGCTGTCCCACCTGAGCATGGGGGCTCTCTGTGACTCTCTGGAGCTGTCCCCAGGGTGGACATGTATGTGGAAAGTACATGAGGAGGGGACTATCCCCAGTACTCCAGGTGGGAGGATGCCTTCTGCTGATTCCTAACCCCCAGAGCACCAAGGAGCTGTGGCCCCATGCCCAGAGGGGATCCCCAGGACTCTCAGAGTTGGGGATCCCCCACCAGATCATGGGAGGAGGGCTTGGTGAGGCCCTAGCTGTCTTAGGGCCCAGCCCAGGAGAAATTTTAAGAGTAGCCTTGCCTCCTGCCCACACCCCTGAAGATGTGGGAAGAACTACCGCCCCTCTGCTGCTAGGTTCCCAGGCTGGAAGCCCAGCTTGTTGCTCCTCCCAAGCTGAGGGTGGTACCCTAGGCACAACTGGCCTATTCCATTCCAGGCTCCTGCACCTCTCCAGGCCTTTCCCTGCTCCTCCTCCTTCCAGCTCCAGAGAGTTGTCCTGCCTCTGCCAGGAAGCCCTCCTGGCCCAGGATATTTTGAGACCCAAGGTCTTAGCACAGGGAGTCTCAGTCCTGGAAGGTCTTGGGAAGCCCTGGGGTCCTAAGAGGACTGTTCTTTCCTGGGCTTCTTGCCTTCCCACTGTTCCCCCAGCCAGTCTCCTGAGTACCCCCACGGAGAGGTGTGCACTGCACTATGCCTGGGGCCGGGCAGGTCCCCTGGACCCAGCAGTGCGGAAGTGGAGACTCTCCTACGCCTCAAGAAATAAAGTTGGGGCTCAGCACCTGTAGCTCAGCAGCTAGGGTGCTAGCCATACACCGGCGCTAGCAGGTTCAAGCCCAGCCCTGGCCTGCTAAACAATAATGACAACTACAACCAAAAAAAGGCCGGGTGTTACGGCAGGAGCCTGTAGTCCCAGCTACTTGGGAGGCTGAGGCAAGAGAATCACTTAAGCCCAGGAGTTTGTGATTTATGTGAGTTGTGACGCCACAGCACTCTGCTGAGGGAGACATAGTGAGACTGTCTCAAAAAAAAAAAAAAAAAAATAGAAATAAAGTTGAGTCCAGAGTGGGGGCTGAGCAGTTCTATCAGGGGTCATCTGCCCCCTCTTCCAGGGGCCCTAGGGGACTCCTATTGTCTACTCACTCATATGGGCAGCACCTGGCATTTTTGTGTGCACCTGTGCTGGGGGAGGGGACAGGAGCCCCTGGGCCTCAGAGCCTAGGCATGGCCCTCTTCCTAAGGGCCTCTGCAGAAGCCATTCAAATCTACACCTCCATCCTGCCATCTGTTGGCCCCACCCTGGAAGCCCTGGTCTACCACCCAGCCCACCTACTCAGACCCAAAGCTATCCTGTCAACCCACATCCACTGGGCAGCTGGGCAAGCTTCCCCGCAGGAGGCACTCACCTGTGTCTGAGGCTGAGACAGCCTTGGTCAGCATGCTGTCGGTGACCACGTTGAGGGCGCAGAGGCTAAAGATCAGGCCAGGCACCAGGAGGCAGAAGTGGAAGACGTTGGACATCATAGCCTAGCATGGAGCAGGCAGGGGTGGGAGCCTGAGCTGAGGGGCCACTGCACAGGACCAGTAGGCTCCTCTCTGGAGCCCTGACTACCACCCCCCTCCTCCAAGGCTGTCTCTGGATGACGTGCCATGCCATTGGCAGAAGGCAGAGAAGGGGAGTGGGCCTGGGACCGCTTATGCATGGGGCAACCTGTAGGGGTGGGGGAACACTTACCATGGCCAGCCCCACCATGACAAAGACCAGCACACTGGCCCGGAGCAGTGCCTCCTCCGAGAAGTGGCTGCTCAGCCGCCCAATGACCAGGCCTTGGGTCACCTAGACCAGGGAGAGAGTAGGGAGGTGGGTATGGTGAAGGTGTGGGTGGGGGAGGTGGGGAGAGGGAGCTCCTCTCCAGAGACAGAAAGGTGGATGGAGAGGCCTGTGCCAGGGACTCAGGGCTGCTCCCAGGCCAGGTGAGGCTCCCAGGCTGGTCACCTCACCTCCTCCATCAAGCAGGAAGTGCCTGAGGCCACAATGCTGGGTGGCTGGAGGAGGCCTGCCATGTCCCGGGGGTAAGCCCAGCCCTGCAGAACCGGTCACTCTCCTACTTCCTGCCAGGCATAATGAAACTGTCTCCAACCTGGAAGGAACATCCTTATGAAAGCCCTACTTTCTCACTTGCTCCATTGTAGGCTTCTCTAAAATTTTGTTTTATTTATTTTATTTTATTTTTTTGAGACAGAGCCTTAAGCTGTCACCCTGGGTAGAGTGCTGTAACATCACAGCTCACAGCAATCTCCAACTTCTGGGCTCAAGCGATTTTCCTGCCTCTGCCTCCCAAGCAGCTGGGACTACAGGTGCCTGCCACAATGCCTGGCTATTTTTTTTTGGTTGCAGCCATCATTGTTGTTTGCTGGGGCTGGGCTGGATTCGAACCTGCCAGCTCAGGTGTATGTGTCTGGGGCCTTAGTCGCTTGACCCACAGGTGCCAAGCCGCTTCTCTGAAATTTTAAAGGAAGACCTGTGTGACAAGTCTCTCTCTGAGCAACCCGTCTGAGGGGGATCACATGCTTGGACAGACTTCAATCCAGCATCCCCTAGGCCCAAATCACCTAGTGTCTACATGTCCCCATTAACTTAAACCTGCCTCTCCCTCCTGCCTTATAGGGGACCTCCAGGAGCGGAGCAAATAGGCAGGCCAGGTTGCCCACGTCTCTACTGTCACCAGCCTGATCCCCACTGCCCAATCACCCCCAAAGGATCCCTGGACCACCTACAGCACCCTTGGCCTTTGCAGGGCCCCAGCAGGCCACTTTCCCTCTCTATCTAGTCCTGTCCCCTCACAAGCTTTCCCACCCTGCAGCCCCAGGTCTCAGGGCTCCCTTTCTCCCTTCGGAATCTCCGTCCAGCAGAGGCGCCTCTCCCACAGCCGCCCCACCTAAAGCAGTATCTTCCTGCTCTAAAATCCTTTCCTTCTTCTCCCCTGACTTGGGATGTCTGAGCTCACACACCTGTGAATCTGCCTCTCAGTGGGATGAGAAGCTCATCACCGCAGGGCTAAGGCTGGGCACTCAGCACCTCAGCATCCTGGGGGCTCTCACACTCTCACAGGAGGGCCTGCAGGGGACAGGGTCTGCAAACCCATCAGGACCCATCCTTCAGCATCCCACTCAGCTTCCCTCACCTGCTGCGAGTGAGTGGATTATGTGGTCCCACGGAGAAGCAGGCTTCAGGGATGCACCCAGGGTGGGGCAGGGAATGGCTTTCAGGGGAGACAGTGAGTGGGAGATGGGTATAGGCACCAGGTTGGGGGCTGCCTCCAGGACCTTCCAGGACCATACCCACCCTCTTTCTTTTTCTTTTCTTTTTTTTTTTTGAGACAGATCCTCAAGCTATCACCTTGAGTAGAGTGCCGTAGCGTCATAGCTCACAGCAACCTTAAACTCTTGGACTTAAGTGATTCTCTTGCCTCACCTCTCAAGTAACTGGGACTCCAAGAGCCCTCCAAAACACCAGGCTATTTTTTGGTTGTAGTTGTCACTGTTGTTTGGCAGGCCTGGGTTGGATTTGAACCTGCCAACTCTGGTGTATGTGACTGGTGCCCTAGCTGCTTGAGGTACAGGCACCGAGCCTTTTTCTTTTTTGAGACAGGGTCTTGCTCTGTCACCCAGGCTGGAGTGTAATGGCATGATCATGGCTTACTGTATAGCCTCTAACTCCTGGGCTCAGGTGATCCTCCTGCCTCAGCCTCCCAAGTAGCTGGGACTACAGGTGTCACTGCACCTAGCTCAGACCTCTTCATGCAAACATAAAATCCAGCCCTCAACCCCTGCCCCAGACAAAGCTCGTGGCTCCATCCTAGCTGGACTTGGGACCCTGTGGTGTGGTGTGGGGATAGGGGGATGACATAGGGGGAGGCCTCTGACACACCCTGCCTCTCTGTGGACCCCTCCCCTCCCCAGGCTCCTCCTCTGTTATACAGCCTGCGTGGGGGACCCCAAGCCCATCTCCTACAAAGTATCCCCCAAGGTGTTAGTCGCCATCCCAGGCCCATCTCAGGTAGGGTCACCATTGTAACCATGGCAGACCTGACCCCCTTCCCCAATGCAGGCCAGAGGCTGTCAGCATCTGTCCCAGGGGTCTCAAGGATCTGCAGACTTCAGCTGGGGTCAGTGGCCTGGGAATAACAGGTTCAGAGTCAGGACCCAGTGTCTGACGATTGTGGATATTATTGTTGTTGTTTTTCTATTTATCTCTTTTTCCCCACCAGGGTGTCCCCTTCTGGCCCATGGAGCCTGGGCCCTCTCTGCCCATGGGGTGAGGGGGTACTCCTCTCAGGAGTGGCTATTTTAGCACTAGGGTTTCATTCTGGGCCTGAGGCTGGGGAAACAGATGGCTTGCAGGAACCAGGAATGCCACAGACTTCCGGAGAGGTTGAGAGAACACCCACCTACCCATCACCCTGTCCCCAAATAGCCCCTCCTGCACTCCAGCTGTCAGGCAGCTGTCCCAGTTGGCAGAACATTGTCACCTGTTCCCACCATCCCAGGGTCTGGTCTAGCTGCCCAGGAGGAGCTGGGGGTGGGGGCAGCTGGGCTTGGGCAGGGCTCAACCTGGGCTGGGAGCCAGGGGCCTGGGGTGCTGTCAGATGGGACACCTGCCCATGCGAGCTGTCAGAGGCATCCTACAGCCACAGCGTGACATCAGACGGCTGATCTCACTGCTGTAGTTCTGCATATGGCCACCTTAGCTTGTGTGATCCGCTCAATGGCCCCATGAGGTGGGCAGGACAGTCAGCCTCACCAGACAGGTGAGAAATGGAGGGTTTGGGAAACTTGCTCTGGTCACATGGCTGATGGGCAGGGGGCGTATGCAGACCCCAGCCAGCTGCCTGCTGGAGTTCAGAGGCCACCATCCTCACAACATGCCTACTACGGGGGACTGCCCTCATTCCCTGTCCCATCCCTGCCTGACACGCAAATGTGCACATGGTTACCTGTGGGCCCCCCTGACCTGCTGCCTAACAGGAGACTGAGGGATCACCAGCCTCCATTGGGGACTCACCTACCCTTTGAGACAGGACATTCAGGTGATAGGTGGGCCCTAGGTGCAAAGGCTTGGGGCTGGGAGGGGGCTTGAGTGTAGCCCCGGGTGTGGGAGCCGAGACCATGGGCAGGGGTGAGCTGGAGCAAGAGACAGCAGAGCTTCCAGCTTTAAGGAAGGAGGGGGTTAAGGCTTAGAAAGAGGCAGAAGAGGGGCAGAAAGGCCCTGGAAGCCAGGCATGTGAGTGACCCAGGGAGGTCAGGTGGCAGCATGCATACTATCAGGAAACTGAGTCAGCCAAGCCCTGTGCACCCACTTACCATCTGGAGGACCCCAAAGAAGGACATGAGGTAGCTGGCCTGGGCAGCCTCCAGCTGGAAGAAGTCCATGGAGATGATGGAGAACATGACCATGAAGAGCCCTGGGCAGAGACAGGTGGTCATGGGCACCCCCCACCCCACTGGGCTGCAGTGCCCACTTCCCTCCCTTCCTTCTCAAGGGGCAAGTCACCTCTGGCCTGGGCTATCAGGTTCTCTGGGCCCAGTCGGTGCTGGTCTGGGGGGACATGTGGCCAAGGAGACCTTTCCCTGGGATTCTGTTGGACCCCTGGTGCAGAAGGCACCTTCCTTGGGGATTAGTTAGGTTCTATGAGCAGGAAGGTGCTGGAAGGAGGGATCCAAGGCCGACCATAGGGGAGGGTTTGGCCCCAAGGCCTACACATGGTCCTCTGCTATGAACCCCCAAAGCCCTGGTTTCTGAAGCTGGTGACATGGGTGGACTGGGTGGGACAGAGGGTAGGGCCCCACTGGCCAGTCCTGGGAGGGCAGCACCCCTAGCCCAGCCTCAACTGAGGGCTACATGAGGCAGATGAGGGTTTAACTCCTTGACATCTGAGGACCTTTGCAAGTGGTTTCACTAGTTTGTCTCTGTCCTGATTCCTGGCATCCCAGTTAGAGGATCTAGACAGGGCCTCTGGTGGCCAGGAGTCACTGCCAGGTGAATCCCTGATGAGTGATGCCCTGGGGTACACAGACAGCCTGGACTGTCTGTCCCTTGGCCAGGTGGCTGGGATAAGCAAGTAGTCAGAGGCTTGTATTCACTTTCAGGCTGTGGTCTCTGCCTCTCAGGCTGTCCTGAGAGGACTTGGAAGCCACAGAACAGGATGGTTAGAACCAAAAGTAAAACAGAGGGTATGGCCTTAGGGAGACTGGCTCTCTGCAGACAGTGACTTCTTGCTCGGCTCCACAAGACCCATGACTTGAGGCTGGAGGGAAGGTGAAGACATTTCTTTGGCTTCCTCCTTGCCCGCACATCTGGCTGAACCTCAGCCAACCCCCTTGCTGGGACATGGTGTGGGTCAGACCTGAAGAGAGGGAAGGTGTGGAGCGGGGGACACAGGGTGGGGCCCTGCCCTGACTGCAGCTTTGTCCCTGCAGCAGGGACTCCCTGCTCTGCTGTGTGGCCATTCAGCTGGGACTCACCTGAAGGGAAGCCAGAGACCACCTTGATGAAGAACACCCGCAGGACGCCTGGCAGCAGCAGTAGCCGGGAGATGGCCTTCAGGTCCAACACGCCAGCCTGGGGGCCGCCTGGACTCCAGAAAGGCAGTCAGACCCCTTGGAGGCTGCAGGCCCCATCCCCAGGTCCGTGGCTGAGGCAGAGGCCCCTGTGCACTTGCCTCGCCTGGCACTGTAGGTCCTTTTGCCTCTGGCTTTGGTGGGATGACAGCTGCCAACACTCCTAGCTCCCCCTTCCCTGCACCTTGGGTGGGCTCATCACACTCCCCTCAGGGGCCCCAGGGCCTCCTAAATTTGGAGGTGCTCAGGAGAACCTGGGTGTTGAGCAGTGGAGGCCCCTGATTCCCCAACTCATAGAACCTGGCATTTGCTCCCAGGCAGAGTACGACAAGGCCAGCAGAAGACAATGGCTAGAGAGGTGCCACCCCAGGTGGTTTCAAGTCACTGTCATGTGTCTTGCACCACTAGACATTCTCAAGTGCTGTGCCCCCTCCCAGGGGCTTCCTGGGTCCTTCTGCCCTTCCCACCTCCTGCCTCTCTGGCTTCCCCATTGTCCCTGGGCAGGCCTGACCTGCACCCCAGACCTGCCTCTGGACCCTCTCTCTGGGTTACCACATCACCCACCCATCCCAGGGTGGGTCTGTCCATCTCAGACTGGCCTCTCAATTCCTGGGCAAAGAGGCAAGGCAGTCCAGCCATGTGCCAGGCCCATGGGGCTGAGGCTCAGCCAAGGCCACCCCAGAGGGGACCTCTCTGAGGGACCCCTGACCTCTCCTGGTGAGGCTGGAGACCTCCAGGCCTACCCTCTGGCTCCACTCCCAGAGCTCCCGCAAAGTAGGGCTGTGCATCCGTACTTCATCTTGGACACGCCAAGTCTCTGGGGCCACCCACACTGAGGTCCCTCCTGGTCCCCTCCAGGCCTCAGCAGTCGCAGGTCTCAAGCTATCTGACACCCATCTCCTCCCTATCAGCTAGGCTGCTACTGTGTCAGCAGTGCCAGGGGCTCATGGAAGGCAGAAGGGTATGAGCTCTCTGTGGCCCCAGGCTGGGACGTGACCTGCTTCCCAAGGCTTCAGGGGGTGGGGGTTGGGCAGTGACAATCATGAGCCTCTTGCTGGCCAAGGGCACATGGGGCTTACCTGGCATAGCCGGGGTGTTGGTGCTGGCACACTTGGTGCTTGAGGGGATGCAGGTGACACTGAGGCCAATTCCCAGGAGGTTGGCCACAAAAGCAACAACAGCTGGGCACTGAATCCTGGGGACAACAGCCTTGGCTGCTCAGGGTACCAGGTCTAGGGCATAGGCACCCCCAGCAGCACCCCCCACCTGCTCTGCAGTCACACTAAAGCCTCAAGGGCTGAAAACAGCTCCAACCTGACCACCCAGGTACCCAAAGCCTGTGACCCCCCATCCCTGACTCTTGCCAGCCTGTGGGCCCTCGCTGCCTTGGCAGTCAGGAGGAGCCAGGAAGGGGAATCCTGGGGGGGGGGGGGCTGAGGCAGAGCCTGGAGGCAGTGGATCCTCCCAGGGTATGGCCAGCTCCTAGGCCTCAGGAGAGACCCCAAAAGGCAGGCCTGATGTGTGTGTCCCTGGGGAGGGGTGTCAAGGCCGGGGTACTTGTACTATGTCATGGGGACACTTGCCCCAGGGGCCCTCAGAAACTGCCTCCCATCCCATGAAGAGCCCTTCCCCATTGCTGGGCCTTGAAAGCAAAGCCCCCAGATATGTCCATCAGGCTGCCTTTTGGCCTGCGCAGACCACCAATAAGGCCTGACCCTGGCTCTCCCCTTAGCTTTCCCTTCTGAGGAAGTGTTTCTCACCATGAGTTAACACATGCTACCTTGGGCTGTGACCCGTACCCCTACCCCAGAAGGAGCAGGCCGGCCCTGTCACCTGGGACAGGCTTTTCTGACTGTCACCTTTCCCTCCTGAGGGCTGGCCTGCCCTCTTTCATGATGAGGGACACAGGAGGAGATGGGGGAACTCCTTACCAAGCTAAGCCGTAAGGCCTCTGGGCCTATACATGGCCAGAACACCCTTCCTCTCAGCAGCTGAGCAAAATCCTATACATCCTGCAATGGCCCTTCTTGGTGAGGCCCCAGTCCTCCTTCCCAGGTGGGACACCATCTCTGAGAAGGACGCGCTTTACCAGATGGCCAGAATCTGGCCCCTGAGGGCAGGGGGCCTAGGGTGGGGCCCTGCAGTGAAACTCCAGTGTGCATCAGATGGCAGCGTGTGAACCGTTTACATGGATGGACCATATCCTGCCCCAGACCTCATCAGAGTCCCCAGGTCTGCCCTGGTCAGAACTTCAGGGCACAGGCTCAGTGCCTGTGGCTCAAGTGGCTAAGGTGCCAGCCACATACACCTAAGGTGGTGGGTTCGAATCCAGCCCAGGCCCGCCAAACAACAATGGTGGCTGCAACCAAAAAATAGCCGGGTATTGTGGCAGGCGCCTGTGGTCCCAGCTACTCGAGAGGCTGAGGCAGGAGACTTGCTTGAGCCCAGGAGTTGGAGGTTGCTGTGAGCTGTGATGTCACAGTACTCTACCCAGGGGAATAGCTTGAGGCTCTGTCTCAAAAAAAAAAAAAAACTTCAGGGCACAGACACAAGTGCATGTCAGAGTCCTGGCCAGCCAAGCTGTGTGTTCTCCCTCCAAAGAGTTCAAAGACAGGACTTCCTTGACCCCTCCTGGCCACAGCCACATATGTGTGCACACACCCTGCCAGAGCTCTGGTTCCCTGCTGACCCAGGGAGGCTGGCTGGGCTACAGAGGCCAAGCTGGGGCCACTCTTTGTCTCTCCTTGTCTTCCCAGGTAGTGATGGGGCTGACATGTGGCAATCCTGCCCGTGCTGCTGGCCACACACCCCCACCCATTGCCCTGGCAACTCTGTCCCCAGAAGTACCTACTGCCTGAATGTTGGCTATTGGGCTCTCTGGCTCCTGGTGTTCCACATGAATAGGCCCTAGGGCCAGCAGGCAGGGAGAGTCAGAGGGCAGTGGATCCCACAGTGAGGCTCTGTACCCCACCTGCTGTACAGTGAGCCTCCCCCACCTTGGTGTCTCCTCCTCGGACCTGCCCAGACAGCAAGGTCACACTGGACATGGCTCCTGAGGCTCTATCAACACTTTTTATCTATGGAGCCTCAGCCAGGAAGGCACAGACAGTTCAGTTTGTCTCTGTCCACCTTCCCTTCTTTTGGTTGGATGGACAGACAGGAGGCTGGACAGATGGATGCACTGAGTCTTCTGAAAGGACACTGGGCAGGACTCAAAGTACATCTCTGTGGCCACTTTGCCTGTGACCTCATTCCCAGCAAATGAGGGCTGGGCTGTCCCCTCACAGCTGTCCTCTGATCCAGGAGCTCATCCTATCCTGAATCCTGCCCCACCTTTGAGGACCTTTTTTTTTCAAAGACAGAGTCTTACTTTGTCACGCTCCGTAGATTGCCGTGGTGTCATAGTTCACAGCAACCTCAAAGTCTCCATCTCAAGTGATTCTCTTGCCTCAGCCTCCAGAGTAGCTGGGACTACAGGCACCTGCCCCAGTGCCTGGATATTTTTAGAGGCGGGGTCTTGCTGTTGCTCAGGCTGGTCTTGAATCTGTGAGCTCAATCAGTTCACCTGCCTCGGCTTCCTAGAATGCTAGGATTACAGGTGTGAGCCGCTGCACCTGGCCCTTTGGGGGACCTTTGGGACCCAGCAGCCCACACCCCAGGCTGGTGGAACAGCAGTACCTGTAGAGCTCCCCTGTCTGTAGGCTGGGGTGCCCATGTCGTCATCCCCTCTGCCTGACCCCATTGGGCTCCTGCCCAACTCAAAAGTGACAAATGCCCACCAAGCTGACCCTCCCCCCTTGCTCTGATCCTCTTAGAGGTGATGGCAGGGTCAGAGGTCCCTTGCTTCTGGGACCTAACCTATGGTGTGTGAGGCCTTTGGGGCTGTACCCCCTTCTTGTGCTCCCCAGAGGACAGGCTGGGTCAGCCATGACCTGGCTTTATGTGACACCTGCTTCACAAGTGTGTGGGGGCAGGGGCCTGGAAAGTCACTGGATGTCCAGTATAAGGCTGGAGAGAACCATCTTACCCCACCCCATCCATGCCCCGTGATGCCCCATGGTTTTGGACTGTGGCCAAACCATGTCTGAAAATGAAGATCTTGGGGGCCTCCTCCTGACTTGGCTTCCCTCTGGCTTCAAGGGCCCCCCAAGAAGGTCCTAAAACCTCTTGGCCCAACATTCCAAGTTCTCTGTGTCCCCTAGCACTTGGACCACCCACATGGGCCTCCAAGCAGACCCCAAGCTTCCCTTCCTGCCCCTGGCCTTTGCCTGGGCTTATCTCTTGGCCTGACACTTTCTGGCCCAGCTGTTCCTCCAACAGTGATGTCTCCTCATCTCCCAGGCCCGTCCCCCACCCTGGCCAAATTGCTCTCAGTCCCTGTGCCCTGTCGGCAAGTGTCCTGGCACCCACACACCCAGGTTCTCTCTGAGAGGCAGCAGGCTACTGTGGTGGTTCCACCCAGATGTCCTGCGTCACAGCCTCCGTGAGCTGAGTCACCCCTGTTCCCAAGGCTGTCCAGGGAAGCCTTGAATGTTTACTCAGTAACTTCAGAGGAAGCTACCATCACTGGGGTGGGAATCTACTATAGCTCTTCTTGGCCCCCCAAGCTGAGGGTCCAGAGAGTATCTCAGGGTCCTGGGGGCCCATGTTCCCAGGCTGCAGCGGCCAGGTCAGGTTCCCAGATGTATATACTGACTCACTGAGGACTTGATGCGGGCAACATGGTGTGAGAGCCACATCTGGGCCACTCACAGGCCAGCCAGTGCCTAGGAGGGCCAGCAGGGGACACTTGTGTCTCAGGAGGTGCCCTGGGCTCCAGCATCTGTGGCGTGATGACACATCCCCGCAAGCCCAGCATCAAACTCTCACCAGTCCTGGTGAGCGTCTGTTCAAATCTAGGCTACTTTGGTGTGGGGGAGGGTCTCCAGGGTGCCAAGAGCCAGGAGTCTGGCTGGAGGCCCAGCTGTGCCTGTGACTTACTGTGTGGCTGCAGCTGGGCTGACTCAGCCCTCACTGGCCTTGAACATCCACCCTGGAGGTGAGGGTGGGTTTCCTTCAGTGCTGAATGTGAAGACCTGAGGAACTCACACAGCTTGAGTTGCCTGCTTAGAGGCATAATTGCCTCTCGTTAGCAAGGTCATTTCTGGGTCCAAGTGGTCCTCATCCTGTTCCATCTGTTGCCACAACATGGAGGCATCATGGATCATCTACCAATGAACAGGTATGGTCCTGTTCATAAAAACTTTATTGCCAAACACAGGCGACATGCTGGATGGCCTGTGAGCCACAGTCTGCCATTCTATTCATGAGGTCACCTCACAGACTGACAACTGGACATATTTACACACAGCGTGAGCCCTCCCTGATCTCAGAGCCCTTGTCACTGACCTTGGATGTCTGATGGTACCTCATACTCCACAAGTCCAGCACTGGACTCCTGGGCATCCTCCTCCCCTGCAAACTGCTGGACCTGCAGAGGCCCCATCTCAGTAGGTACATGGCCATCCCCTGGCTGCTTAAACCTCAGAGTCCTCCTGACTCCCTCCTGCCCTGAACGCCTCATGCCATCTTCAGCAAGTCCTGTTGGCTCCACCTTTGGGATGCAACCCCAACCCCCCAGGCATGAGCTCCACATCCACACAGCCTCTGCTTCCCCCTTACCCTCACCCCTACCCTGCTCCGAGAGTCCACTCTGCACCACAGGCCCCTTGTCACAAATGTCCCTGTGGCCCCATCAGCTCTTTTCTTAGCACCCAGTGGTGGCTCTGGGACACTCAGGCAGAGGCTGAGTCCTGGATGCCCTCCCACCCTGCCTCACTGGGCTCTGGCCACCCTGGCCCTTGCTTTTTCTCCAGTAACCCAAGACATCCTGCCTACAGGGCCTGTACACCCCTATCTCACATACGTGGCTCTCAGGGAGCTGCTGGCTCCATGCTGTGGTGCCCAATGTGCTCAGATGGGAGATGGGTGGGTGAGGAGGCTCAGTAGCTGTGGTCTCTCCTCAGTCCCTTCACAGGCTGTGAGGTCCTGGGCTCAGGGACATGATTCAGAGGGCCCAGCCTACCCCAGGCAGCCAGGCCCTCAGTCCTGGGCTCCAGACGCTGGGCACAAACCAGTTAGTCCACTACCCGCCCAGGGCCTCTGAAAGCCAAGTCCACGTCCTCCTCCCACCTGCTCCCACCAGCAGGTGGGGGTGGAACATAACTGGCTTTTCAGGGGCAGGGGTACCTGGGGGTAGGGGGGTGGCAACCCTGTTGACATGCCTCAGTTTTCATCAAGGAAGGGGAAGGATGGGTGTGCATGAGGAAGGGACATCTGGGTCCTAGAGTTTCCCCAGCCTCCATATGAGGATGGGGCGGGGCACACTGCCTGCCAGCACTGAGACACAGGTGCGCCCTCAGCTGTGCAGGCTGGCCCCATCTGGGAGGAGAAGGGCAGGGAGTCAGCTACAAAGTATTCACATGCTCTCCTCTGTCCCCTAGATGGGACTGGGAGCTCAGTGGGAGGAGCTGACCATCTCCTGGGCCATAGTGCCCCACTCACGAAAGAGGATGGCAAGGTTGGCCTTGGTATAAGTAAACGTGGAGGCTGAAAGCATCACAGAACCTGGACGAAAGGGGACAGAGAAGCTGATGGAATGTTCTGGAAGATATGGGCAGGTATGGAGGCTATCTGGAGGGCTGCTGGGAGAAGGAAGTGAGTGGTGGCTTCAGGGCCCGCAGCTGGGAAAGGGGGAGGGTACAGGGGGATAGAAGGAGCCATGTGGCTGTCCGGTGGGATTGCCACTCAACATACCATGTGCTATACCCTGCAGTATCCCTGTGGGTTGGAGGGCCCCAGGGCCTGTTCACAGGTAGGAAACCAGGAGAACCTGCCTTCCTGGGCTGCAGAGTTCCTGTTCATGGGCCACATGTTGGGTCCGATCAGCATAGCCATCTGTAGGTGCCAACACCCCCTAAACTGCCCTCACTCTAGCCGCTGGCTCCCACCCCCATCCATCCCAGGCTGAGCTGTCCCTGCTGCTCCAGTCCCCCTCCACGAAACCTCTTCTCTTCTGTCCTGTCCTTCCTGAGGGCTCCTCCCACCCTGAAAATCCTCCCCTGGACTCAGGCTCCCTCTCTCTCCACTGCCCCATCCAGACCCCATCTACTGTATCTGGCTTCTTCCAGGGCTGGAGATGACCTCCCTGCAACCGACAAGGTCAATGGGGGGCCCCTGGCTTACTGGGACATGGCAGTTAAGGTGCAGCCAGTCCCAGCCCCTTCTCCTCTCTCCACTGTTTACTGCCTGTCCCCAGCCCCTAAACATGAAGCACCCAGGTGCAGGGCTCAGGCACCCCTATACTTTCCGACCTGCAGACCTCCCATCCACTGCCTGTTCCACAGTGCCCTAATCATCTAACAAGTACTGGGACTGGGCCTGAACTGGACCCCAGGCCACTTGGGCCTCAGTGCAAGGCTATTTGGCACCCCTAGAGCCCTAGTCAGGGCACAGCCTTAACACCACTGCCTTGAGTTCATACCCAGAGGCCACCCACTGGCAAAACCAAGCCAGAATCTGCCCTCTTCCCTCTTGTACAGTCAACTGGGGTCAGGCTGCCATCCTCTGCCACCTAGATTAGAGGAGAGGCCATCCCACTGGATTCCCTGCAGTGGCACTAACTCTCACATTATCAGTACAGCAGCTGGGTCACTACCCCTGCTGGTGCCCACCCAGGGCTCCCTGGCTTGCCTCCTGCCCCTCCTCCATTCCTCCAGCCATGCAGGGCCCTCATTTCCTGCATTGGGGCCTTTGCACATGCTGGTTCTAAGTATCTTCTCACCTACTTTGGGGCTCTGCTCTAACATCATCTCCTTAGAGGCCCCTGGTAACTCCTGTCCACCCAACCTGATCCTGCTTATAACTTTCGTAGTTCAACATGACACTATAGGAACACATACAGTCTACCCTAGAACAAGAATACTCAAGGGCCCTTACTAGATGTTTAATAAACATCGGAAAGTAAACAACCCCCATTCACAGTGGTTAGCAGGGATGGGTATCCTCAACCCAGGTTCTGATGAAAATGCTGGGAGGGGCTCGGCGCCTGTGGCTCAAGCGGCTAAGGCGCCAGCCACATACACCTAAGGTGGCGGGTTCGAATCCCCAGCCCGGACCCGCCAAACAACAATAATGGCTGCAACCAAAAAAAATGGCCGGGCGTCGTGGTGGGCGCCTGTAGTCCCAGCTACTTGGGAGGCTGAGGCAGGAGACTCGCTTGAGCCCAGGAGTTGGAGGTTGCTGTGAGGATGATGCCATGGCACTCTACCCAGGGGGATAGCTTGAGGCTCCGTCTCAAAAAAAAAAAAAAAAAAAAAAAAGAAAATGCTGGGAGGACACTGGAGCCTTAGGAGGGAGGTGCTGTAATAAGACCATTGTCCCCTCAGTTGCTGGAGCACCTGGGGCTCAGCCATCACCCAGCTACCTCACATACTCCTGGGGTTTGTCTGGGCCACTCAGACAGCCTAGGCTGTAGTCCTTGGGCAGTCCCTGGCCTGGGAGCCTGGGTGGCCCCCAGAGCTCCAGAGACTGGCATTGGCTCATTCAAGATTGGAGAGCTTGGTGTCAGCAGGGCGTCCCACTCCACACACAATGACACCCCAGTGTGTGTGGGGTTCAGACCCCAGGAAGGCACTATCCCTGAATGGAGCTTCAGGGAAGCCCACACCGGCTGCAAAGGAGGGGCCACTAGCTAGTGGTTACAGAGCCACTGGCCGCTGGGCCTTCCCCAGCACCTCGCAGATGAGTGAAAGGGCTGGTGGGAGGCCTCTCCCCATCCTCCTCCGTCTCTGCAACATACTCCTTTCCCATGGACACAGCTCCCCTCTATCCTCCAGGGCAAGATGGAGGGGCTGTCCCAAAACAGGCTGAATGTGCCAGCAGGGCAGAACTTATGGTCATCAGGTCGCTGCTTCCGGGTTCCCACCGCAGAGTGCCTGGCCCGGTGCGGGTCCCTCTCGGCATCCGGGACCCTACCCTGGGACCTCACTATTTGGTTTCCTTTAGGCCTGGCCGCTCCTCCAGCCAGGCTCAGGATGGGGACTCCGCGGACTGCCCGGAGCCTGCCCAGCCAGGGTGTACGGTCCCGGCCGGAGCTTCGGCACGGACGACGGCGCCCCCTGCCGGCCACGCTCCTCCTCACCCAGCTCACCCTGCGCGCAGACCGGGAAACCGAGGCCTGGGGTGGCGGCGGCGCAGAATTCTCCACCCGCGGACATCTGCCAAGTAGCTTCCGCCGCCTGCCGACTGCCCCCGGAGAAAGTTCCCAGGCCACTTACCCAAACGTGGTGCTCAGGGTCCCGCCGAGCAGGGAGCCGAAGATGATGCCCACGCCGAAGCAGAGGCCGAACCGGCCCAGAGCCGCCGGCCGCTCCTCAGGAGAGGACAGGTCGGTGATGATCATCTGAGCAGCTGAGGGTGGAAAAAGGCTGAGGGCGCGGGACCCTGGCAGACCCGATGAGCGGGTGCTGCCCCTCACTCCTTCCCCATCCAGGCCACGCCCTACAGCGTCCCCTCTACCTTTGACCTACCCACCCCGTTCCCCGGCCTACCTGACACCGCCCCAACTGGCATTGCCCCTGGGCCTACCTGGCATCGTATGCATGAGCACCCCTGGCAGGCGCGAGGCGAAGAGCAGGTAGACCCCGGGCAGGTCGGGGCTGCAGGAGGCCGCCAGGAGCAGGTAGAACGCTGAGGATGCCAGGAAGGACAGCGTGAATGCCGCCCGAGCGCCGCGCTGGTCTGCGAACCTGGGGGCCGCGGGTGGGTCAGCACCGTACAGGTGGCAGCCAGGTGCCCCCCAAGCAGGACTGACTAAGGAGGCTAGAGTGCTAGGGGGTGGGCCCTTGTGTGGCGCTGGGCCTCCCAGCAAGTCCTCTCTGTTCTCAGGGCCTCGGTTTCCCCATTGTCCTAGTGTAGCTGTGCAGGGACAGCTTCAGTGAGCTGAGGGAGTCTGACTCACAGGACAGTCCAACTCCATGTGGAAAGAAATGATGGAATCCTCCGTCTTTTTTGTTGTTGTTGTTGTTGCAGTTTGGCTGGGGCTGGGCTTGAACCAGCCACCCTCGGTTTATGGGGCCCACACCCTACTCACTGAGCCACAGGCACCAGCCGAAATGATGGAATCCTAATGGACCAAGGGGATGTGCCTGCTTCCTGCTCCTCAGTTTCCAGACTCCTCAGTGTTTAGAACAGGAATCCCTCCCCAGTCCCTGCTGCCCAGCATTCACTACCTGCAGACCCTCTTCTTTTCTGCCCTGCTGCTCTGTGACAGTGCTGTATGGGAGGAAGTCCACAGTCCTCCAGGGGTCCCTGGAGCTCCTGCCTGGGCCCCAGAATCATCTTTTCTTTCCCTTCTTTCCGTCCTTTTTTTGAGACAGTCTTACTTTGTCACCCTTGGTAGAGTGCCATGGTGTCATAGTTGAAAGCAACCTCAAACTCTTGGGCTCAAGCAATTCTTTTACCTCAGCCTCCCAAATAGCTGGGACTACAGGTGCCTGCCACAACATCCAGCTATTTTTTTTTTTTTTCAGTTTTTGGCTGGGGCTGGATTTGAATCCGCCACCTCTGGCATATGGGGACAGTGCCCTGCTCCTTTGAGCCACAGGCGCTGCCCAACACCCAGCTATTTTTTTTAGAGATGGGGTCTTGCTCTTGCTCAGCTGGTCTCAAACCTGTGAGCTCAGGCAATCCACTCAGAGTGTTAGGATTACCCGTGAGCCACTATGCCCAGCCCAGAATCACCTTTTCAATAAAAGTTGATGGTTCCCATTTGGTGGGGCTGGGCATTTACAGCCACAATCTGCTCAGCAATTAACCTCCCCCTGACACAACCACTTGGTAGAAGGCACAGTCTGCTCTGTCCTGGGACCCCAAAGCTCTCATCCAGTGGGGGCCAGTGTGAGGGGAGGGAACTTGGCAGGACCTATTCTATTGCCTCTGAGGGGTGGACCTGGGTCATTGTGGGGTGTGGAACCCCTATATCCCTGCCCACAGTACCTGCCAAACACAGGCCCACCAAGCAGCTGAAGCACGCCAAAGGTCGTCTGCAAGTAGCCAAAACCAACAGAATCCAGGCCCAGCCTCCGGGACAGATACTGCAAAACAGGTGGGAGCCCACAGGGGAAGGTCTAGAAAGGACCCCAGGACCTGGGATCCGAGATTCATGATGGGCAGGGGGTGGGAAGGAACAGAGGGCTCTGATGATACCACAGAGTGACCTGAGCTCCTAGGTGGGAGCCATGGTGGCCTCTAGGGATGGTGGTGAAGATAGGGGGCAGACACTGGACTGACATGGACACAGCCAAGGACAGTCTGGGCTGCTGGGACCTGGAGGCAGGAAGGACACTCCCCTGCAGGTTTCGGGGCTGTGAGACCCTACTGGATCTCAGATTTCAGGCCTACAGAGTGCTGAGATGGCAAACTTCAGCTGCTCCAAGCCCCCAGTCTTTGGTTCTTTATTACGGCAGCCCTGACTCTGACCCTGGGCCTCTCCCGAAGTGCAGACTTGGGGCCCCACTCCTCTTCTTTCCTGCACCCCCACCTTGGGATATATGATCCCTCCTTGATCCATCCTCTGTGGCTTGAGTCCCAGGGCAACCAGTAGTCCTCCCTACTTCCTGGCTCCTCATCCTTCAGTTTCATCCCTACTCCTTCAGGCTGGAGAAGAGGCTGTCCTCTGGATCTCTCCCATGCTTGCGAACTCTTTCTTTTCTTTTCTTTTTTTTTTTTTTTGAGACAGTCTCACTCTGTTGCCCCAGGCTAGAGTGCCATTACCCTAGCTCACAGCAACCTCAAACTCCTGGGTTCAAGGGATCCTCTTGCCTCAGCCTCTGGAGTGGTTGGGACTACAGGTGTCCACCACAACACCTGGCTAGGTTTCTATTTTTAGTAGAGAGGGGTCTCGCTCTTGTTTAGGCTGGTCTCCAACTCCTCAGCTCAAGCAATCCACCCTCCTCGGCCTCCCAGAGTGCTAGGATTATAGGTATGTGCTAACCACATCCAGTCCACTGCTTATGAACTTGATGAGACAATTAATCTCATCAAGTTCTCTTAGTAACCCCCTGCCTCCTCCTATCCCTGCCCACCTATCTATCCCCACCCATCTCAGCCTATTACCTCCCCCAGGACAGGGCTCCAAAGCTCCTCTCCCCCTTGTTTTCCCCGGGTTCTCCTGGAGTATGCTCTCTTCCTGCTGTTTCTCCTGCCTTCTCTTGACCCCTCCCATCCAGCCAATTCCAAAGCTGGTCCAACCTCATTCCCACTCTTACAGCTTCCTGCATCACCCTCCCTGGGCTACCAGTGACCTCCATGCTGCTACCTCCAGAGGTCAGCACCTGTCTGGGAGGCACCCTCTCCCATCCATGGGTCCCTGGCCTTTCATGGCTACCACTGTGCATTCCTCCTGCTGACCTAGCCTCCAAGCTGCCCTTCACTCCGGGGGAGCTCACCCCATGAGAGCTCACCTTGTGACCACCCCCGTGCTGGAGAGTCTCAGAGCGACCTGGACCTGAGAACTTGATCCTGAATGCTCTGCACTCAGTGTGTAAAATCACCTCAAACTCTGTGTCCCATCTTCCCCCAGACTGGCTCCATCTGCCATTGCCTTTTGTTCATTGCTGATGCCATCCTTCCAAAAGCTCAGGCCTGAGCCCTTGTGTCATCCCTGATACCCTTTCTCTTACAGCCACCTTCAATCCATCAGCAATAGCCCTAGACTCCAGCTGCCACTCTCCTCCTCCACCACCACCACTACCCTGGACTCCTCCCAGCACCTGCGGGTGTGACACTCCCCCCCACCCTGCCTCTTCACTCATTCTCCCCGGTACCCCTCCTGCCTTCTCAGCACCCAGGCATGCAGTTCTTCAGTCTCCTTTCCAGACGCAAGGTCTACCTGGGTATTACACATACTGTTGATGGCAATCACTACTCAACAGCAGCACACAGGTAACCACCAGCTCTGAGGTTGGGGGCTGTTTGCCACTTTCCAAGTTTAGAGGACAGGGTCAGCCATAGGTGCTGGGCATGGACTGAGGGCATGGTAAGCCAGGGGCTGCTCTACGCCTGCCTCGTCTAAATTTTTACTCACTCCTTCCTGCACTCACCCTGTGAGGGAGGGACAATAATGAGGAAACCAAGGCCCTAGCCTAGGCTACTGCACTGCCAAGGAAGATTTCAAGGGGAGGGAGGGGAGGGGGGAAGATGGGTGGAGGGAAGGTAATCGGTGGGACCACACCTACAGTGCATCTTACAAGGGTACATGTGAAATTTACTAGGTGTAGACTACCAATGTCTTAACACAATAACTAAGAAAATGCTGTGAAGGCTATGTTAACCAGTTTGATGAAAATATTTTAAATTGAATATAAAACCAGCACATTGTACCCCATGATTGCATTAATGTACACAGCTATGATTTAATAATAATAAAAAAAAAATCTCCAGCACAAGTTTTTGAGACAGTCTCAGTGGGTAGAATGCCATGGCATTATCATAGCTCACAGCAACCTCTAACTTTTGGGCTCAAGTGACCCTCTTGCCTCAGCTTTTTTTTTTTTTTTTTTTTTATAGAGACATAATCTCACTTTGTCACCCTCAGTAGTATGCCAGTGCCATGGCGTTACAGCTTACAGCAACTTCCAGCTCTTGGGCTTAGGTGATTCTCTTTCCTCAGCCTCCAGAGTAGCTGGGACTACAGGTGCCCACCACAACGCCTGGCTATTTTTTTGTTGCAGTTTGGCTGGGGCCAGGTTTGAACCTGCTACCCTTGGTATATGGGGCCAGTGCCCTACCCACTGAGCCATAGGCACTGCCCTTCCTCAGTTTTTTTTCTATTTTTTTTTTTAGACAGAGCCTCAAGCTATACCCCTGGGTAGAGTGTTGTGGCATCACAGCTCACAGCAACCTCCAACTCCTGGGCTCAAGCGAGTCTCTTGCCTCTGCCTCCCAAGTAGCTGGGACCACAGGCACCCGCCACAACGCCTGGCTATTTTTTGGTTGCAGCCGTCATTGTTGTTTGGCGGGCCCAGGCTGGATTCGAACCCACCACCTTAGGTTACCTGCCTCTTCGTGCAGTTCTCCATCAGAGTGGGGGCCTCAAGCTACAAGCCCCTCAGCCACTTGAGCCACAGGTGCCAAGCCATTTTTTTTTCTATTTTTAGTAGAGACAAGGTCTCAGCTTTTTGCTCAGCTTTTTTCTCAAACTCCTGAGCTCAAGCAATCCACCCACCTTGGCCTCCCAGAGTGCCAGGATTATAGGTGTGAGCCACCACAGCGGGCCTCCAGCCAACTTTTAAAAGTGGCCATTGGGGCTCAGCACCTGTAGCGCAGAGGCTAGGGCACCGGCCACATACACCAGGGCTGGTGGGTTCAAACCCGGCTGGGCCTGACAAACAATGACAACTACAACAAAAGAATAGTGGGGCATTGTGGCAGACGCCTGTAGTCCCAGCTACTTGGGAGGCAAAGGCAAGAGGATCACTTAAGCCCAAGAGTTTGAGGTTGCTGTGAGCTATGACACTACGGCATTCTACCAAGGGTGACATAGTGAGACTGTCTCAAAAAAAAAAAAAAAAGTGGCCATTGGCTGATGCCATTGCCTCACCCACATCAGATAGAAAAGACCTCTGGGGACTCTGGGTTCTTCCTCACTCCCCTGAGTACTGTTGCCTTCTCTGGGGGCCTGCTCTAGAGAGGTTTGGTGGATGAATACACAAGAGTGAAAGGGGGAATGAATGGAGACTGGGTAGGCAGGCACGGGGCAGACAGCCATGTGCCAAACAGACTTGCTGTGAGCCAGGCAAGTTCCAGAGATCAAGTTCCAGAGAATGAGGGGGTCAGGTCTTGCACCCACATCTGGTGGGGCAGAGAGATTGTCCATTTCACCTGGAATATGCTGCCTGGTGTGGGCAAGCTGGATGAAGACACTGCAGATGGAGGGACCAGGCAGGTGCAAGGAAGGCCCCTCCAAGTGGGTGACCTGCAGAGGTCTGGGGCAGCCAGGACTGGGTGTTGAGGTAGGGGATTGATAGTGCAAAGGTCCCAGGTAGGAAGAACAGTAAGAACGGCTCGTGGAGGTGCTACCACCAGCAGGGTCATGGGCCTCAGAGTGGTTCCCTGTGGCTTCTCTACAGGGTTGGCTGCATAGCCGGAGCACAGGCTGTACTGACAGGGGGCACCTTACTTGGCGCACATGTGGCTTGTAGCTTGAGGCCCCCACTCTGAGGAGCCCTGGCAATATCCAGCCTCACCCCTACTCCCTGCCACCACCCAGATGGGAGGCAGGAAGGAGGGAGGACAGTTGTTGGCACAGGTTTGGGGAAGGAGATTTACTCACCGGCAAGATGGAGAACTGCATGAAGAGGCAGGTAACCTCCAGGGTGGTCAGCAAGTAGGTCAGTAGGATAAGCCAGGGCTGGCTTAGAGGGCCCATGCTGCCTGGGGACTGGCCCCGGTCCCTGGAGGCCCCGGCTCCCTGCATCTTGGGCATGCACTGCAGGGAGACCTGGGAGAGATCCAAGCAGGTGGCTGGCCGGGCAGGGGGCAAAAGTCCTGTTGATCTGGGCTCAGGTGCTGAGTCACTCAGGCGCAGGTGGGCGGCACCCAGCCTGGCCTTGCCTGGAGAGAACAGCACTTTAGGATTCCCCAATCCAGCTCTCTGGACACCTTTACCTTGGAGGATGAGTCAGGTGGCCAGCCCGCTCCACACTGGACAACTGGTCTCCCTCCAGACACACCACAGCCACCATGGGAGGGCAACAGGGACATCCCCTGCAGTATGGGCTGGCTCTTCGCCCTAGGTGCCTTACACAAGAAGGCATGGTGCCCTATTGTTACAGGGAGACCCAGGCTCAGAGTGGCTGCTGACTGCAGCTCAGCTCAGGGGCTTCTGTGGGCACCAGGCTGATTTGGGCCTCCTTACGCCGGCCATACACCTGTCCCCAACACAGGGCAGCTTAAGATAGAACTAGGCCCAGCTTCCCCTAGGATCCCAGCCAGAGCTCCAGGGCTCCTGGTTTGAAGTTGGGGATGGAGGGATACACAGCTCAGCCCTCCAGGTTCCCAGGCAGAGCAGCTGTGCCTCAGCTCCTGGGGCAGGGCTGTCTGTCCCCACCCTTCCCACCCTACAAACCAGAAGAAACTGGATTTTGCAGTTGTACTGAGGCCTTCCCTACCTTTCGCTAAATTAACACCTGACAGCACAGTTGAGGCCCGAGGTATAGAGTCAGGAGAGGGGTGAGGTGGCAGTGCAGAGGGCTCAGGAGCTGGATTCAGCTGCACCCCCAGCCCTCGTCGTCGGGGTGCGGGGAGGATAGGGGAGTTGGTAGCCTCAGCAGACACCTCAGGGGCACCTCCTTAGGCAAAGGCTTGACTCTGTACGGGGGTTTGGTGATCAGGGCCTCTGCAGGGGTGAGCTTGAGCACTGGTCGGGTGGGGTCGGGTGGGGGGGGCCCTGACCCGTCTCCTGGGGCGAACCGGCACAAAGATTCCTCCTCTGGGCAGGGCCTCCACACCTGCCTTCCGCAATCCGGCGTTCCGGGAACGCCTACGCGGCGGCATTTGCGCTCTCATTGGCCAAGCCCGACAAGCCCCCGGCGGACCCCGCCTTTGCCTCAGCCCCGCCCCCAGCTTTGCCCAAGACCCAGCTCTTGCAGCTTATCCCCTTCTCCCGCTTTGAGCCCGGCCTGGGAAGCGGGAGCTCTGGCCGTCTAGCAGGCTCGGGCACCTGTTCTGGGGAGCATGGGGCGGAGGATGGGCCCGAGAGGTGGAAGGGAGGGAAGGGAGAAGCGGGGAGGTGGGGAGGAAGGGGGAAGAAAGCAAACGGGTTGAAGTTTTGGGGTGTGGAGGGAAGTAAGGGGAGAGCACTGGAGGCGCCACCCGGCCTGGCCTTGCTTAGGATCTGCGGGAAGACCCAGACGGGGGGGCGGGGCGACTGGCGCATTTGGGGGAACGTCTCTCTTCTCAGACCCGGAGGCTGCTCCGCGTAGTATTTGCCCCATTTCTCCCTACCTCCCTGTCCCCACACCCTTGGCAGGGGCCACCAGAGGTGCAAGTACGCAGGCGCACATGGCCTCCAGCCATCTTCCCCTGCTTTTGGAGCCTGCAGGGACACCGGGCTTCCCCAGAGCAGGCTTGGTCCAGCGTCTTGCCCTCGGGGCTACTAATTATTCTTACCTGTCCTCCAGCTAGCTGACCTACCCTACCTTCCTGCCCGCAGCCCAGTGTCAAAACCAGTGTGTCCTCTGCTGTGTACTGAACGCGGTTCCACAAAGCAGAAAACTGTGGTGGTGGGGTGTCCTGAGATAGAGCGGACACGCATGACAGAGCCCCTCCTGAGTGTCTGAGCAGGAGTGGCCAAAGTCCTGGCAGTGTAGGGGCAGAGCCAGGCGGACCTGAGGCCTGCTGGTGGGGATTCCTGAAGCCACCACAGGAGTGAGCCAGGCCACCCCTCAGTCCATAGTACAGGTGCATGCACTGTTTGATGAAGGTTCCAGTCTAAACAGTGCAAATGAGGAAAATGCATTTGTGTCTGAGGTGGGTGTTCCTCAGGTCCTCCGACAAACTCGATTTCAAAAATAGTCACCACTGGCCTCCCTGGGGGACTTAGGAGCCCAGAGCCAGGCAGCTCCAGCTAGGGTTGCTGGTGCGGTGGAGGGCAGCACTGAGTGACAGGTTCAGGAGTCCTGGGGGAGGACTGATGTCCAGGTGGTTCTATGGCCGATGGGTGGGGGGTGAGGGACTGCTTCCTAGAATTTCCAGACTCTCCAGGGCCCAACAGGCTGCTGGGCTGCTTCTCAGCCACCTGGCCAGGAGGTTGGGCCATCATCTGACTCCTCATGGGTTCTCTGGGCCGGGGTTGGAGGGTGAAAGGCAGGAAGGGAGGTGAGTGTTCCCAAACTGCCCGGAGGTGGGTGGGGGACAGAAGAGTTGGTTACTTACCACCCTCCTCAGTGTCCTGCAGAGCCTGTGGTGGCAGGAGGAGTGTTTGGGCAGAAGTGATCAGAGCTAGCTCTGCTAGCCCTTGGGATTAAGTCAGTGTGTGTGTGAAGGGCGAAGGGCGGGGAGCTTCCTGGTTCTGAGGGAATGTGAGAAAATTGCTCTTTGGGCTGGATGAGGAAAGGGAAGGACCTCCTTTCTCCAGAGGAAGCAGCTTTGGCTGTGGGCCAGAGGCCAACCTCCCACTTGGCCACTCAACAAACAGCTTGGGAGTGTTTCTAGCCTCTGAGTGCCTCTGAGAAGCACAGCGGCTCAGCTCTAAGCCTTTGACAGAACTGTTTCATCTATCTGGTGGCAGTTCTGCCTGAGGAGACCAATCTTGGCTGACTGGAAGAAGGGCTTCATCTAATCTGGGGTCAGGCTTGGAGGGAGGGCTTCTCAGAGGAGGTGGTGCTTTGGGTAATTCTTGTGACCAGGTGTGGGAAGTGCATTCCAGGCAGAGGAAACAGCATGGACAAAGGCTTAGAGGTGAGCCTAGACTTGGGGTGTTCAGGAAGCTGAGAAGGCTGAGTGAGGCTGGGCAAAGGGTAGGCAGAGGAATGAGGGGGCAAAAAATGAGTCTGGAGAGAGGGGAGGCCCCAGGAGTGCTAGAAGAGGGCAGGACACAGCAAGCTATGCCCTGGGAAGGGTCATTCCAACTGCCATTCCCTGGAGGCGGGGATCCCAAGAGTCTCCTGGCCAGCCCCTGAGCTGGCCCCACCCAGCATACACTGCCACCTGGATGTCTGAAGTGGCAGTGGACCTTGAAATAGGCAGCCTTGTTCAACACAACAAGCATTTATGGAGCACCTTCTCCTTGAGTTATTATAGGGTGCACGAGTATTTGGTGGGGCAGATGCCATGCAACCCCTATGATGCGTAAGTAAATGATGTGATGCTCCTGGGCAGTTTGGCTCTTCCTCTGGGTGCAGTGGGAACCATCGCGGGTTTCTGACTTGCTTTAGGTTCTGGAAGGATCCTCTGGCTGATGTACTGATGAGGGATGGAGGGGGTGAGCCAGGGCAGGGATGCTTCTGCTATGGTTCAGATGAGAAGTGAGAGGGGTTTGAATGGTGGGTGGCAGTGGGAGGGAGAGGTGGGACTCTGCACATCTCAGGAAGGAAGGGCTGGCAGGCTTTCCCGATCCAGTGGGCCTGGCTCAGAGAGCCAATCCATTGTCATTTGACTGCTGGCGAAGGAGGGCATTTTGGAATGGAGGGGCAGGTGGAGAAGTGAGGCCTGTGAGTCAGCAGAGAGGGCAGTTTCAGCGTTAGTCTGAGACAGACATGTGAATTAGGTTGTTAGCCACATCAAAGTGGTATTAGCATTCTGACTCTAAAGGAGATACCCTAGGAATGGATGGGGACAGAGAGGGGAGGGGCCCAGGGACAAGGAGCCCCCTGCCCAGGGAGAGGGAGGGAAGCCAGGGGAGAAGGTGAAGCAGGGTGTGGAGTCCTAGAGCTGGTGGCTGGGTGGAGTATTTGAGGTCACTTTGGCAGGAGTGTCCTTGGCATGGGGCTGGCCACTGTGGTTCAGGAGGGAGGAGTAAGCCCAGCTCAGCCCAATGATTCTTGTGAAGAGTTTTGCTGCAAAAGAGAGTTGGGAGGGGAAAGTGGGATAAAAAGAGAAAATATTTGTTCAAAATTTTAAGATTAAAAAAATGTGATACTACAAAGAAGGGAGGAGGATGGAGGGACAATCTGGAGGGGGTAGGAGGGGTGGCCCTGGTGTGGCACTAGTCACTGGAGGGCCAGAGGGGGAGATGGGTCCCTTGGTGGGTTGATAAGGGCTCCTAGGGGACATTCAGGGGACGTGTGCAAGGATAGGACACCTGTTGTCATTCCTACCATTCTGAGGACCCACCTCAAATGGCTCTTTCAGGACACCAACAGGGCCGTTTGACTCTGGTTCCCCTTCTATCAGCATAGGCCACCTGCTCAGCCAAGGAGAGGTGCAGTTTCAGAATTCTGCCAGCAGGTGGTGCCCAGACCCACAGCAGGATCTGTGCTCAGGCAAGTCCCTCACCGGGGTCCCTCCTGGCATCCCCAAGCTCTGCCAATTCTGGCTTGCTGGCTGTTCTTGGAGACAGCCTTATGAGGACGCCAAACTACTGTGGGCACTGTGGCACAGCCCTAGTGCATGTCAGAGGTGGTCTGGTTGGGAATCTGGGGAACAGTTTCAAAGGCTCCTTACCTGGTGTCCTTGGGCCTTAGGGGGACAGTCCCCAACCCACGGGGGTGGGGTGGGGGTGGGTGGGCTTGTCAGGCAGCCCTGGGAAGGCCTACTCTGCTACCCCCCTCCTCGGTCTTTTGCAGGTGCCACACAAGGAACTTGGCTGGTGCATGCTGTGGAACCTTCTGGAACTGGAGCCTGAATATGCTCCTGGGATTGGAATTTGGGCTGGGGCTTTGTAGGAGGGATGGGGTTGAACCTTGTCCAGGGTAGGCACTGGGTTCTGAGATGTCCTGTGGGTAGGTGTGTGGAACTGAGGTGTTCAGGACCTGGAGGAGGCTATTGGGCCAACAGGGGTTTTTCCACTGGCTTCTTGTGATCCAGATATCCCAGACGGGCCCAGGCCATCCCTGCATGTCAGTATCCCAGCAGAGAGAGGGCAGCTGCAGTGGGTTTGGGGCAGAGGTCTGGGATCTTGAGACAGGTGAGCTCCCGCCCTCACCTGCAGAGTTGGGGCTGGATGTGGAGGGACATGGTTCAAAGGCTTCAGGGACTCCTGCTGGCTGATGGCCATAACTGAGAGGGGTAAAGGCCTTGGGGAAGCATGCTTGAGAGCTGCGTGGAGGAGGTATTCATTGTGTGAGGCCTGAAAGCTGGAGATCTCGGAGGCTTTGGAGGGAGAGCTGGGGAGTGCTCTTAGGTAGCTCAGGTCCCCTTTCTCACATTGCAGGCCCAGGACTGAGGGGTTTTAGGGTGATCGCTTCCTATGCTAAAAGGGAGACATTCCTGGGTAAACCAGATCATCCTCCCTCTCGGGTCCCTTGAGGTCAAACAGGCTGTCCGTGGACCCTGACTAGGAGGGAGGAAGGGAAGATGCTGGAGGTGAGGGAGGGGCTGGGAACCAAGAGACAGCGGGCTCCAGCCTGCAGGACCCTCAAAGGATGCCTTGCCCAACTTCCGTGCTTGGGAAGGAACAACAACTTCAAAGGAGGGATGTCCATCCAGTGAGGCTGGAGGGGGAAGTGGACAGGAGCTGGCAGTACT